TGGGGGCGTGCTGGGTTTTTTTTGGCAGGCTTTTGAAAAAGTTTTTTTATCTCACACCTGTCCTAGAGAGACTTAAGATTGGGTGTTGCATCATCTGGGTCTCTTGACAAAGAGGTTTCTTGTGGGTTGTGAGTCCTACAGTGCAATGGTGGCCACCGATATAATGGGGGCTTTGGAGATTGTCCAGTTAAGTGTCTTTGCTGGAAGTTTTCAAATGGATGACCTCAAGCAAAGGCAGCCCAATGACGCTGTATAGCTATTGTGTTGTTCCCTCCTCACTATATTTCTGTGTGTATGTCTGGGGACAACCCATGGAAGAAATAATGGGGAAAGATGGCTGTACAGGTAGTCCTTGACTTACGACCAGAATGGGGCCCAACAATTTTTGTCGCCAAGTGAAACCTTCGTTAAGTGAATTTTGCTCCCGTTTTACGTTTTGCTCCTTGCCACAGTTAAGTGACTCAGTCCAGTTGTTAAGTAAGCAACATGGTTGTTAAGTGACTCTGGCTTCCCCCTTTGCTTGTCAGAAGGTCGCAAAAGGGGATCGTATGACCTGCGACCGTCATAAATATGAGTCAGTTGCTAAGTGGCTGAATTTTGATCACGTGACCACTGAGATGCTGCCACAGTCAGGACTGAAAAAAAAAATGGCCCTAAGTCCCCCCTTTTTTTGTGCCGTTGTGACTTTGAATGGTCACTAAATGAATGGTTGTAAGTCAAGGACTACCTGTATTCCAGAATTCCTGTCTAGGTAGATATTAATTCAGAGGTCCCCAAGCCTGGCAACTTGAAGACTTGTGGACTTCAACTTCCTTGGCTGGAGAATTCTGGGAGTTGAAGTCCACAAGTCTTAAAGTTGCCAAGATTGGAGACCTCTGTATTAATTCCAACATATCAGAAGAAGGTTGGCCAAAGTCTTAATGGAAACAGAACAATAAGTCACCATTGGGAAAAGATAGGAGGGAAAGAAAGAACAGGGCGGGGCGGAAGAGACCTGGAAGTGAGCTGAAATACAGAGGAGAAGAGAGCTTTGAAGAAAAAAATGGTCATAAGGAAAGAGGAACCAGAGGCTGCATTAACAGGGATGGAATCAAGATCATGTGAAATGTTGGTATCTCTTTATAATCCCTTAAAGAAGGCCACACTTGGAATATGGCACCCAGTTTTGGTTGTTACCATATTAAAAAGGATGTTGAGACTCTAGAACAGGGGTCTCCAAACTTGACAGCTTTAAGACTTGTGGACTTTCGCTCCCAGAATTCCTCCTCCAGTCATCTTAGCTCAGGAATTCTGGGAGTTGAAGTCCACAAGTCTTAAAGTTGCCAAGTTTGAAGACCCTTGCTCTAGTACGGGTATCCAACCTTGGCGATTTTTAAGACCCGTGGGCTTCAACTCCTAGAATTCCTGAGCTAACATGTCTGGAGGAGTAATTCTGGGAATTGAAGTCCACAAGTCTTAAAGTTGCCAAGTTTGAAGCCCCTTGCTCTAGAAAGAATGCACAGAGGAGCAACAAGGACGATTAGGGGGCTGGAGGCTAAAACGTAGGAAGGAGGGTTGCAGGAATTGGGTAGGTCTGGTTTAATGAAAAGGAGGGCTTAGGGGGATACCCCCACGATAGCAGTGTGTGGAAACTAATCAAGGAGAGAAGCAACTTAGAAATAAGGAGGAATTTCCTGACAGAACCATCAGTGGGACAACTTTCCTCCAGAATTTGTGGGTGCTCCGCCCCGGAGGCTTTTCAGAAGAGACTGTACAGCCATTTGTCTGAAATGGTATAGGGTTTCATGCTTAAACGGGGGTTGGGATAGAAGACCTCCAGGGTCCCTTCCAACTTCGTTTTTTCTGTTATCGGATGCATGCAGCCCCACCAGCCCTACTGTCCATTCAGGTCTCCTTTTGGGGAAGGGAGTAATTCAAACACCCAGAACTTCTTTCCAACGAGAGCGATGCCGGAACAAGCAACGCCATCTCTGCTGCCTGCGCCCCCTGATTGATTGATTGATTCATTTTCCTATTTCCCCTTTTTTTTGGTGCAAGCCGTGTGTCTTATTGACCTGCTCTTCTCCCCAACCCTGTACCCCATTCCAGCTTCTTTTCCCCATGGCTGCAGTTGCTTTCTTGCTGAGTGTTGGGGTCTTCCCAGGTGCCTGGTAACATGTCTGGCTGTAGGTAACTTCTGTTTCTTCTTTCTCTCTTTCCCTTTTCTCCTTGCGTGTGCGTGCGTGCGTCTGTGTTGTGTGTTGCCAACAGGGCGGATTCAGGTCTCTCCAGGTAATCCCTTTTCTATAATCCTACTCTGGTTGGGACCGGGAGGGCCACCCCCCCACCCACCCCCCTTCGAGTGTGAGTGGAAGTACCTTAACGCCCCTCCGTGCTGTAAGTTTGTAAGTTTGAGGTGGTGTTAAAACAGCTGTCCTTTAGCCTGTAGGGATCATGAGATCTTAGAACAGGAACTTTTAAGACTTGCTGGCTGGAGAATTCTGGGAGTCGAAGTCCACAAGTCTTAAAGTTGCCAGGTTTGGAGACCTCTGTCTTAGACGATGATGGTGTTTTTATTTTATTTATTTTTTTAAACCCAATTCCATGTTGCACAAATCTCTGGGAAAAGTGTTGACGGGTCACTGAATTTGAGTGCTTCATCATGACCCTTCTTTGCTTTTCACGATTGTTCTTCATTCGTCTGACTTCTCCGTATGCGTCCTCTCCCTCTTTTATTTCAGTGCGTTTGGTCTTTCACTCTCTTCCCCGTCCCCCCACTTCTCTTCCCCCCCTGAGTGTTGCATTACCGCAGTTTTTGCTCACCCCCGAATCAGAGATTGTAACTCACAGAATATCCAGGGATTTTCGAAACCTATCCCATTTGGGGACCGCCCGTCTCGTCCTCCCAAGAGGAACTCGGGGCGGTATACAATTAAAATACGACAAAAAAATGAGAATAAAAAGTATAGAGCAGTTAAATTTTTTAAAAAGAGGCAAGGATGAGGAAAAGCAAGGTTAAAAATTAATTCAGAAAGAGGAAAGGATGGCTTTCAGGTTAAAGAAAAATGCTGTTGTGTCCCAGGGCATGTAATGTCAGCGTTCCCCTACATCTCTCTAGAGTTACACATTGATTGTATGTTAGTTTCCTATACTAGCTGACTTGAAATTGGAGAAAGTTTCCAGGGTTTCTAATATCCTAGCATTGCCAACTTCCATTAAATATAACTTGTAGTTTTCTGGTCCTTTGTTTGCTGATAAAGGGGGGAGGGGTAGATAATTCGATCTTTATAGGATAGGAACCTTTGCATGACAGGTAGCCCTTGAGTTACGACCACCACTGAGCCCAACATTCCCGTGGCTAAGCAAGACAATGGTCAAGTGAACTTTGCCCTATTTTTACGACTTTTCCTGCCGCTGTTTAAGTGAATCCCCGCGATTGTTAAGTTAGGAACGCAGCTGTTAAACAAATCTGAATTCCCCATTGACATCGCTCATCAGAAGGTCAAAAAGGTGGATCACGTGACACCCCCCCCCCCCGGGACACTGCAACCGTCATAAATACGAGTCAGTTGGGAAGCACCCCACTCTAGATTACGTGACACTGAGGATGTCGCGACGGTTGTAAGCGTGAAAAAAATGGGTCGTAAGTCGGGTTTTTTGTCAGTGCTGCTGTGACTTTGAGCGGTTGTAAGTTCAACCGTGCATCAGCTGACTGACCAAATGATTGTAAGTGGAGGAGTACCTGTATGCATTTTCACCAGTCCAGCTTATTTTACAGCAGGGGTCTCCAACCGTGGCAGCTTTAAGACTTGTGGACTTCAACTCCCAGAGTTCCTTAGCCAGCAAAGCGGATGGGGCTTCGCTTGTATTTGTGGCCTGGTTTCCGGCATGCCGTGGCCCGGTGTTGGTCCATGGACCAAGGGGTGTTGGGGACCCCGCTCTACACTCCCTATGTCAGGGGTCTCCAAACCGTGGCAACTTTAAAACTTGTGGACTTCAACTCTTTCAGAGTTCCTCAGCCAGCTGGAATTTGAAATCCACAAGTCTTAAAAGTTTCTTTGCTGGCTGAGGAATTTTGGGAGTTGAAGTCCACAAGTCTTGAAGTTTCTTTGCTGGCTGAGGAATTGTGGGAGTCCACTAGTCTTAAAAGTTGCCAAGGTTGGAGACTCTTGTTTTTCCACAACTCTGTTCATTTGGGAAAGGGAACTTAAGCATCTATATAAGTGCAGCCCAGTATAGGGTGTCCACAGAGAGAAGTCACCGGTTAAACTGAGCTAATTTTTCCTCTCTCTCCCTTGTCTTTCCCTGCCTCTTATTCACGATTATGTCAAGAGAGGGATTTTTTCCCCCCGATAGGGCCCATTGTCTTCCTCTCTGAAGACTTAGGCAAAACCTAGCCCTGCTGGCCTTTGATTCAAGCCTTTCGTTGCATCCTTCTCGGCTGTAAGCCAGCTTTCATTCATTCAGGAGCGAGTTGGTACATCCTGAAATTCAGCAAAGCTCCCAGCAGTGGCTGCCCTCCTACGGGTAGTCCTCGACTTAACAACAGTTCATTTAATGACTGGTTTTTGGGGAAGTTAACAACGGTACTGGGAAAACAAAGTGACGTACGCCACTTTTCGCACTTAACGACCGTTGCAGCATCCCCACGGGTCAGCCTGATTTACATCCGGCTGCTTGGCGGCTGACTCACACCGACGACGGTTGCAGCGTCCCCTTTTGCGAGAAGCAGAGTCAACGGAGAAACCGGAGCCGCTTAACCACCGTGTGCCTAACTTAACCGCGGTGCTTCGCTTGACCTAGAAAGAGGCGTAAAATGGGGAAAAACTCGCTTCTTGCTGAACCAGCATAAAAAGTTGGGGGCTTGATTGTGGTCGTAAGTTGAGGACTACCTGCATTTCGACCCGTTTGGCGGAGGGGGGCATACGGTGGGGGCTAGCCTAGTGTAGGGGAAGCAGCTGGGGTTCCTCTGGCCTGGCCTGACTAACGAAGCACGTCGCTCTCTCCTTTCTCTCTTGAAGCATTTCTACCAGAGCAGGGCCCAGCCACCGACCAGTGCTTCCCGGGTGCAGAGTAACACGTCGGCTCGGCCTGGCCCACCCACTCATGTTTATCCAGCTGCTTCCCAGGTCATGATGATCCCTTCACAGATCTCCTATCCTGCTTCGCAAGGTGCCTACTACATCCCTGGACAGGTGAGGGTTAGACTGGGGCTGCGGCCCCCTTCATTGTGGAGCGGCCGAGAGCTTGTGGCTGCTTTCCCGAGCGATCTGTGTCTCCTGGAACGGGTGTGTAGCTCGCCTTCCCTCTGGGGTTGGTGTAAGAAAGGGAGGAGGGGTAAGTTTCTGGTCTGCCCTCCTGCCTGTCAACAGATAGCGTCCCAGTCATGGCTCCCAGCTGCCTGTAACGCGACAGTCTTGGTTATCTTTCGTCTGGGGAGAGCTGTATTTTGGTCAAACAAACCACACACTGGCAAATTGTCGCATGGTTGATGTATGCAAATGCCTTCCTCCCAATGGGGAAGGCAGGAATGGGGTGTGCTGGCTTCGGTCAGAGACAGCAGAAAAGCATTTGGGACCAGGAGGTAACAACAGACATTGAGTTCACGTGACGGTGACTCGACTCCCTACTTAACTGAGCTGCTTGCACAACCCAGTTCATGGGCCGATTGTTGCGATTGTACGAGATTTAATGGCTCTCGCCCTGAGTCAGTAGCAAAGGACGGCTCCTCTGACCTCCCTTTTCGTAACTGTCCCGAGCCAGTTGGAACAAAGATGATGTATTTTGCACCATTTTTAGGAAATGGGCTTGGCTTGATTCCCGAAGCTTGTCCAGGAATGGCCGCTTAGGAAAGCCTTATGTGAACTCTTGCAAACCTACCGGCTAGTCTCAATAGTTCACACGTGAAAATGTTTCTGATTGCTCTTGAAGAAGGTCAAGACCTAACATGGTCTCTCTCTCTTTCTCTCTCCCTCTCTCTCTCTCCCCCTTCAAGGTTCTGTCCCAGGCTATTCAACTAGAGCCTGTGGTTCAGTCCCTTAATAAATATGAGTGGCCTCTAAAAAGTTCTGATGTTTTTATCATGCAGGCTCTGTAGATGGCAAACATAATTTTAGAAAATGGGAGTCCAACTATATATAAAAGGCAAAGGGAAATACCCCACAAGTGTTGCCTTCTGCAGTTTCACGTAAAACACATTGTGTGGGTTTGGGATTGTTTTTATATTGATTTAGTCCATGGGAAATTATAATGAAATCTTGGCTAGGCTACCACCAGCTCCATCCTTGCAAGGTCATCCGGTTTTCTCTCCTGCTATTCTTGACCAAACTCTTCCAAACTCTTAATTTAGGTCACATTATCTCATAGTTATAAAGGCCCCACCCTAAGCACCCCAAGAGGTGTGCCTAGCAGGTCAAATGCTGGTGGAGACGCGAAGGAGAACCTCATATGGCCTTGTGAGACACAGTACAAGAGGCAAAGGGCCTCAGATACGAGTGCCACGTAAGCCTCTTTCAGAGAAAAGGGATTGCCAAACGATGCTTAAATCGCGAGTCCCTACGGGCTCCCTACGGGCTCCAGGTGGTCTCCCTACAAAAAGAACAGAGGGGCATTTCTTTGGAGATTCTCAGTCATCCAAGTCATGGTTGTCCCAAAGGTTCTTTTTTTTTTTTTTTCTTCAAGAGGCAGCTGGGCTTTCTGGGTTTTTTCTTCTGAAGACATTTCGCTTCTCATCCAAGAAGCTTCTTCAGCTCTGACTGGATGGTGGGGATTGGAAGGATTTATACTCCTTGCAACTGGTCGTTTGCAGGAGAACAAACCCATCTGGACTAGATTCAGCAGTTCATCCGCTTTTAAAAGACGTAGGCACTCTTTTGAAGTCCACATTTTGGACAGGGAGGACTACTAGTTTGAAAGAGGAATCAAAAACAGGCCATTTATCTCAGTGGTAAGTGTCTCTAAGCAGCAGCAAATCTCCAAGCACCAAGAATACATTAAGGCAGAAGCTTGCCCACCTCAAGGATAAAACACCCAGCCATAAACTGAGCAATGTGGTATGTGCAGTACGGTGCAGTGAAGCACATGCAAATCTGTACATTGGGGAAAACAAAACCATCGCTTCCTGAACGCATGGCACAACATGAGAGAACAAACCCATCAGGACAAGGTTCAGCCGTCTGCATTTAAAAGACAAAGGCCAGTCTTTTGAAGACAGCAAGGTTCACATTTTTGGACAGAGAAGACCGCTGGCTTGAAAGGGGTCAAAGAGGCCATCTATGTCAAAACTGAACAAAATTGAACTCAACCGAGCGGGACGGATACGACATCATCTATCTCCAGTCTACAACAGGATCCTTTCAGCAGTTCCAAGAAGGCTCCACACCCATTTGCACCACTCAGGTGACCCTGAGGACACAAATAAACCTCCGAGCGGCCTCAACGACCCTCTAAAAAGGATGCAAATGACCAGTTGTCTGCAAGGAATATCAATCCTTCCATTCCCCACCATCTAGTCAGAGCTGAAGAAGCTTCTTGGATGAGAAGCAAAACGTCTTCAAAGAAAAAACAAGAAAGTCCAGTTGCCTCTTGGGGGGGGGGGGGGGGCCGGGAAAGCACCTTTGGGAGCCGAGTGGCCTGGTCTGATTTTCATGACGGCCCTTCCTATTGAAGGTATCGATTGCTGGAGCCAATGATACTCCCAAGCCTGTGGTTACATTTATAATTACTAGAATGTAATCCATGGATGGTGCTTCGAGGGCAGAGACTTGGACTTGAGACTTGGAGGGCTGAGATTAGTCGTCATAAAGTGAGACCGAATAGATCTGGAGTTGGGGTGGGCGGGGGGGAAAAATTTAGAAAGGCAAAAACCGCCCAGCAAACATCCATTGGAACATTTTAGGGCCAGCCTTTATCAGCTAAAAGACAAGGTGTTTTAGTTTACCTTATTGTCATTATACCTCGCACAACGAAATTAAATGCCACCTTCAGTGTACATTGTGACTATGAAAATAAACACACATCCTTCACATTCTATACATCGAATTGAAAACCCCTGATATCACATTAACATTGCACTGTACAGTAAAATTCAACAACGCTGCACGAATTTAAAAAAAAAAAAAGCTTAAGGTTGAGAGGAACATTTCTTAAGCTTTGTAAGGACGATTTGCTCAATCTTTGGAGGCTGCAATTTGAGGATCGGCATACGAAGTATAATCTCTGTTTAGTTCTGGGCTTCTGGATCTAGCGCAGCTGGCTAGGGAATTCTGGGAGATGTAGTCCGCCAGGCTTAACCTTGGCAAGTTTGGAGACGCCTGACCTAGTGGGCTTCCCTGGGCCATTTCCTTAAGCTCAGTGCTGCCTGCTTTGTTGTCTTCTGAATGCAGCCTTGAGGGTTCACCTGCTCCGTTTCTCCTCTTCTTCTAGGGTCGCAACACGTACGTCGTTCCGACACAGCAGTATCCTGTCCAACCTGGTGCCCCCAGCTTCTACCCCGGAGGCAACACCCCAGAGTATGGCCCTTTTGGTAAGTGCACAAACGCATGCCTGCCAACACCGATAGGGTTTCATCCCTAAGATGGCCAACCTCTCCAGTGGGGGTTAAAGGGGAAGGTAATCCTCGACTTAGAGCCACAATCGAGCCCCCCAATTTCTGTCACTAAGTGAGTTTTGCCCAATCTTACAATCTTTCTTGCCATGGTTGTTAAGTGAATTGCTGCAGTTGTTAAGTTAGTAGCACGGGGTTAAGTAAATCTGGCTTCCCCATTGACTTTGCTTGTAAGAAGGTCACGAAAGGGGATCCCATAACCCCGGGACACGGCAGCGGTCATAAATACGAGTCAGTTGCCAAGCCTCCAAATTTTGATCACCTGACTATGGGGGATGTCAAGGCTCCAACAAATCCACCCCCATTCAAATCATAAGTCTCTAGCCGCATCTTTCAGAGTAAAAAAAAAAAATGATTTATTAGGAGTGACCATGTTGGCGTTACCTGGGTGCAGCTGACACTAAGATATATCATTCATTTCCCCCTTGACCCTGGTCTTCCTTCCACCCCTGGATGTATATTCTCCAATGGGATACATCCATAGCCAGGAGTCATCAACAATGCTCTCCAGTAATCTTGTGCGCCAACAGCTTCGGCTGCCTAGCAATTATCTGAAGCATTTAAGGAATGCACTACTTTCCCCACTCCCTTTCCGCTGGCAACTAGAAAAAGACCAAAGGACTATTTTTTTAGTTGACGGGATGCTGCAACAGTCGGATATGTGAAAAATGATTATAAGTCACTTTTCTCCACCGCGGTTGTAACTTTGCACGGTCAGTAAACAAATGGTTGTAAGTCAAGGATCTGTACAGGTAGTCCTCGACTTACGACCATAACTGAGCCCAAAATTTATGTTGCTGAGACAATTTGTTAAGTTTTTTTCTCACTTTATGACCTTTCTTGCCACCGCTGTTAAATGAATCACTGCAGTTAAGTAACACGGTTGTTAATTGGCTTCCCCATTCACTGGGCTTGTCGGAAGGTCGCAAAAGGGGATTGTGTGACCTTGGGACACATCCTAAAAACTATGAATAAATTGCCAAGCATCTGCATCGGTCGTAAGTGTGAAAAGCAGTCATAAGATACCTTTTTTTCAGTGCTGTCATATCTTCATGGTCACTAAACAAACGGTTTTAAGTCGAGAACTATCTGTATATGGAAATGTATCTGGATTAGAGGCAGAATTGAGAAGTGTTAATGAAACGGTCGAGTGAGGAGATTTTTGGCCTACTAATGAAATTAGCTGCTCCATGAGGGCTTCTTTTCGCTCCTTCCGTAATCCTCACTTTTCAAGCTCCGTCTCCTGCTGTTTTAGGCTTTGCAATTTATCCTTGAACATAGTGGCTTTGCTCTGAAAGGTGTTAAGTATTGATTTATTTTGTTCTCGGTGTGAAACGATTAAGGATAATACTTGGGGAAGATACACAGAGATCACGGCCAGAAAAACTTGGTGCAAACAGGGAAAATTACTTGCTAGGAGAAAAGATTGGTTCAATTGAATTCTTGAAGAGAAAATAAAAATTGAGATTCAGTTATGCAGATAAAGAATTCTAGATAAAGAATTCCTTCTCCTCAAACCTCTGGAATTTAAAAAAAATGCATCAAAATGGCCTTTTTTTTGGTCGGATTTAATACCTGGATACCATATCATGCCTTGTAGCAGTTGTTAATTTTTGCCTTTTTCTGGAGTGGCTTTCTCCCCTCTTCCCCGCAGTTTTGCATTCTAGCCAAACATCCTGTATCATTGTCTTCGACCTATGACCACAGTTGAGCCCAAAATTTCTATTGCTGAATGAAGTGGTTGTTAAGCGAGTTTTGCCCCATTTTCTTTATTGCCACAGTCGTTCCAGTGAATCACTGCGCTTGGTAAGTTATTAAGTGAGCCTGGCTTCTCCATTGACTTTGCTTAACCCCAGAACATTACAGCTATCCTAAATATGAGTCAGTTGCCAAAAGCGCCTGAATTTTGATCATGTGTCCATGGAGAAGCTGCAACGATTGTGAGAAAAACGGTCATAAGTTCCTTTTTGCAGTTGTAAGTTCCTTTTTGCTGTACTGACTTTGGAGCTTGGTATTCATCATTAATTGGTTCTGGGAGGGGCAAGGAATACCAATTCTCCCCCACAAGGAATAATGTGGTGAGCCAGAAGGCCATTGACAATGATAGATTCTTGCTTGTGCATCAAGTGCCAAACAAACGATGAGTAGCGGGACACAATTTTTGCATCAAAATGCGTTGATACCAAGTTCGATGAGTTTCAAAGCAGTTGAGTACCAAGGTACTTATTCTCTAATTTGCAAAGAAATAAGGTTTTATTCCGTTTCCTGGAGGTGATGGAAAATGTAGGCACTGAGAGAAGCATTCTGTGATGACTCGGGGCGCCATACAAAAATAACAAAGTCACAAAAGTAGAATAAATTCCCTTTAATGCCTCCAACTTGGCCCCAAAGTCCAATTATCCTCGGCTGGTTATCAAACTCTTCCAAAAACAGTCTACGAAGGGCAGAAATGCAGTCCAAACCCAAAGTAAAGATAATTAGAAATAAAAAAACAACGCAAACCACACTGAAGTAATTAACACCGCTTTCAAAGGATAATGCAGCACCCACAGTTGGGAGGACTCCAAAACCCTCGACAAAGATAGGAAGCAAAGGAGCCGTGTGCAGATGCCGCACCTGTTCTTCCAGCTGCAACTAATGAAAGGGATCAGGGCCTTTTCGTCTCTCGTAAGCCATGTTGCTCCCTTCTCCGTTCTTCCCTGCGTGCCCTAGGATGAAGAGGGGTGGTGGCCCTGGGTCTCCCTCTGGATGCCCAGCCGGACTGTGCCCTTCCCAGCCACTGGAACCACACACCCCACTCCCTGTCAGCTGCTAAATCTCCCCCTCAGAATCAGACTCCAACAAGGGCATGAAAGATGGAAATATATAACTGTTCTAGGCAGAACAAGTTCTGAGTTTGAATCCTGATTTTTGAGAATATTGGGAACGCAAAAAAAAAACAAGGGCTTGTTCCCTTCATTTTGATTCTAGCACAGTAAAAATAGAATAGTGGTGCATTCTGATCACTTACAGGTAGCCTTTGCCTTACAGTCATTTGTTTAGCGACTGTTCAAAGCTACGATGGCACTAGAAAGAGTCTTTCCACTTACACGTTTTCACGCTTACAATCATTGCAATGTCCCCATTGTCACGTGATCAAAATTTGGACCCTTAACAACTGGCATGTATTTATGACTGTTGCCATGTCCCACGGTCACGTGATTTTATGACCCTCTGTCAGGCAAAGTCAATGGGGGTAAAGCCCCTCAACCGTGTTGCTAACTTTTACAGCTGCAGCGATTCACTTAACAACAGTAGCAGGAAAGGTCGTAAAACGGGGCAAAGTTCGCCAAATAGCTGTCTCACTTAGCAACAGGAATTTGGGGCTCCATTGTGGTCGTAAGTCAAGAGCTACCTATAGGCAACCTCCAACAGAATTGATCAAGGGAATAATTTTTTTTTTTTTTGTATAGCAAACAGCGGATGGATTCACTAAGCAGAAGGAAATATACCTTTTGCAATTCCGTCTTTGACTTTTTTTTTTTTAACCCACAAATAAGGAAGCTTCTATTCATCAGGGAACAAAACTTGCACTAAGCAGGAAGGAAAGAGAGAGGTTAGGAGGGACGGGGAAAGTATTTGCAACTGGGGAACATAAAGGGAGAAGATTGTGTGTTTGCTGAGCTGGCAAATGGGTGAAACCTGTGCTTTATCTATCAAGCTGGAGGTGAGTCATTGGGCTGAATGCCCATCATGGAAATGTGGCCTGTCTGATTACCTGCATCATGGAAAATTGGCTTGCAACTTACTTAGCCTTGCTCCTGACACATAAGCACAGATAGCCCTCGACCACGGTTGAGCGCCAAATTTCTGTGGCTAAGTGAAACATTGGTTCAGTGAAGTTTGCATCGTTTTACAACCCAATTTTTGCTACAGTCGTTAAGTGATTCACTGCAAGTTATTAAGTTTGTAACATGGTTGTTAAATGACTCTGGCATTTCCACGATGTAAAAAAAAAAAAAGGATGTTGAGACTCTAGAAAGAGTGCAGAGAAGGGCACCCAAAATGATGAGGGGACCGGAGTCTTAAAACGTAAGAACAATTGCAGAAAGTAGGTTTGTCTTGTCTAGATGTGGCCTGCAGGGTCACCCTGGGAATAGCGAAGGACTGGGCCATGGTGCCTCTGCCAACACGCGGCCCTTCCAAGCTTGGTTTTCGGCTGCCACAGCCTCTGCCATCCCTCTGCCAGCGAAAACAGAGATGGACCCTCCTGGGCACCGTTTTCAGTTGCAACATTCTCCTAGCCCTTTGCCAGTTAAAACGGAGCCTGGGAGGACAATGTCAGCTCTGTTTTCGCTGGCAGAAGGGCTGCAAGAGGCCGTTGT